CTGCCTTATCTGATGATTTATAAAAGCTATCTTATAAATATCTTTTATAAATCATCAGATAAATAAAATAAATAAATAAAATAAAATAAAATAAATAAATAAAAGATATTTTATAAAGGTGCCACAAATTGTGACAATGGTTTGTGCAACTACAGACTGTGAGACCTGCAGGTCTGGCTGGTTGGAAAGCAGAATTTACTTTTCAGTCCATATATGCCAATTTCCTGGTTAGGTGACCTACAAATAACACTGTGGAAGTTGGGGATTTAGTGCTGTATTTTAGATTTTCCTGTTGCTACTCTTTTTTTTTTTTTTTTAAGTAGTTACAGCTTCTGATATTCTTACAGCTTTCAGAGATCCCTGCAAAATGTTTGATGAACACATTATTCTGCACATTCAGAAATCCTCACTGTGTATATTAAATAATCCTAGTTCCAAAAATGCTGGTTACTTAGCTATTGAGAGCCAGCTTTCTGTCAGTGGGGAGCGCTTTTTCTTTAGGATCTTCAGTGAAGTCACCTTGAGACTTCTTGAAAGGTACAGTCTTCCAGTATTAGGAGCTCTACAGCTAATAAGATACACAGAGGAAAAATAGTTTCAGAAAGATGTAAATCCAAATGATCTCAAAAGACAGAAGAATATACAAAAAAATGCTATTGCATTCTCCAAACTAAAAATGGAGATTTTTAGTTTGCTTCTCCAAACTAAAAATGCTATTGCATTTTTTTATATATTCTTCTGTCTGTACATATTTTTGATTTATATTTTGAAGTATTTTATCAGAAAAAAATGTTCTATTGTACATTGGATGTTCTTTTGAACATTAATATACTGATACAAATCAACATTTGAATGCTCTGATCTATGAAACAAGCTATTAGGAAACACAGTGGCTAGTTCTAGTCACCTAAAGTATTAGTTATTGCACATGGACAGAATATTTTTGGAGGATAATAAACGTTAAGATTTCAAAGCAGCTTAAAAATGTCTTTAGTATCAGAAAATGAGAAATTCCCTCAATGCTGCTAAGGTGGACTTTGTTAATTACAGCAACTGATCTTACAACTGGCATATTTAACTGAAATCATTAGTGTAATTCCTGTTTGTTAGTCTGGAACTCTGGATTCACTAAGCACTGATGTTGGACTGTCTTTGGTGTGGGCTTGGAAAGAACTCTTTGCTTCCTCTCACCTGTGTGCACAGCAGACTGCGCTACGTAGCTCCAGGCAGCCAAATCCAGAAGAGCACGACTACTAACCATGCCTCCTCACCTGGACCTAGACCAAGGAGTTACACTCCAGAGAAGACAACTCCTTGCAAAACACCCTGAAATGACTGTATTTCAGTACAACATAAAATAACAGATCACATGAAAATTCTTTGGGAATGGTACAATTTATGTTCATCTGCTTGTCAGCTCTCGCTTGATCTGTGCCTCTGCCAACAGCTGCACAGCGATAACATAGCAGGGAAACTCTTAACCACTTCCAGGTGATTCTCCTAGGAGATGATCTATCGCAGTGGTACACTGATTACATTCTAGGGCTGAGGAAAAACTTTCTTCAGCTTTCCTGTATTCAGTCAGCAAGCTCTGGAAAGTCAGACAGCTGCTTTCGAAGCAGACGGTGTTTCAAATCCAGCTTAGCTTGGTAGGAAGAACTTGAAATGCGTCTCTCACCAAAAGATTTCCAAATGGAAATGCAATAACATGTTAATTAGAAAATTCTTTACATAGCAAAAGGCTCCCAGTGAACAATTGCTTTATATTTCACAGAAGCCTTTTCTAACACAATCTTTGTATGGGGAAAAGAAAATATGAAAGAAAAAACAACAACATAGAAAACATTATATAAAATGTTGTATTTGAGTATTTCCCAAGTAGTGATTAAACCTTTCTGGGGAAACCTGCCTCAGACCTTTATCACAAAGCACAATAACACTGAAGAAACTTGACAGATGATATAGTCACTCTCTCCCAGTACAAAAATTGCAAGATCTGGGAAAAATTTTAAATGACAAGATTATTAGAGAACCATCACCTGATAGACAAGATTAGCATTGTATCAAGTCAAACATCAAACTCAGGCACTTTTTAATACATTCTCAATATATTAAAGGTCTTTTCTTCTAATCGGGGAAGCCCAGATGTAACATTTGATACCAAAGATGCTGTTCCAGGGCAACAGACTAGATTGACTGGGCTGACTAAGGCCCCACCTGGAATACTGCGTCCAGTTCTGGAGCCCCCAACACAAGAGAGACCTGGAGCAGCTAGAACAAGTCCAGAGGAGGCCACAAGGATGATCCGAGGGCTGGAGCAGCTCTGCTGTGAGGACAGACTGAGAGAGTTGGGGCTGTTCAGCCTGGAGGAGAGAAGGCTCCAGGGAAATCTTATAGCAGCCTCCCAGTACCTGAAGGATACCATCAACAGTCCTGTGCCCACAGTGCCAAATGTCGAAATGCAATTTATGCCAACCCATAAATCCTTGTCCCAAACTGAACAGGGTGGGTGGGGAGCAGACGCAACTCTTAACAGCTCCCGGACCACAGCAAAGTAATTTTATTACTAAACCGACCTTAAAGCAACAATGGAATCAAGACTTAAGGGGTCGAAACAAGTTAACTCTTCCTGGAGTCAGTGACCAGAGTAGCTAATCCTCTCCACAGTGGGATGTGACCTTTTAAAACAACAAAGAAAGAAACTCGGTGGTTGTAACTCATTTGTGCGCATGTTCCACCCCAAAATTTTGGAGACAAAAATCAAATACAATACATACACGTCTTTCCAAAAGTTATTGTGTACAAAACACAGCATATAGAACTGAGACACACGAATATTTACAGTTGTAACATTAGTTAAAGGCTTGACTTTGCTTTTCTGAGCACTGCTGAGTAGCTGATGAGGCTGTTCAGGATGTTACCTGGACTATGGCATCCAAATTGACTAAAGAAAATCACATTATTTTTTAAAATGGATACCAGACACAGTTCTACACAAAGAGACAGTCCTTTTACATAGTCCTGAATATCCAGCCCTCAACAGTCCTTCGAAGATCTCTGCACTTCCCCTACAAAGGCTCTGCTTTTAGCACTGTATCAAGCCAGTTAAGTACTGTCACTCCCTTCCCAGCCTCACTCAAATCTGCAGAACTCAAGCTAAAACTGCATCTCAAACTAAACCCACTAACCAGTACGAATGAAAACCTGATCTCTGCTGACACTCATGTCAGCAAAGCAGGCTAACCTGCAGCAGCTAAGGATTGCCTCGTGTCAGCACAGCTCAGCACCTTAATCAACGTTAGCTCAAGCGCTTTGTAGTATGGTTATGATCACTTTACATGGACTATGCTGAGCAGAATAACTGCAGTTAACTGCTGGCGCTGTCTGTAGTCTTAATTCTAGTCTAACCATCTCCACAGTTGTTTCAATTCAGCTCAACGAAGTCTGCAAACAACCTGAAATGTATTTAATAACAGTAATAATGATGCTAGAAGAAAACTTCAGAAATTTAATCTACCCTCCTACTCTTGTATTTTTGAAAATCTCAAAGCTGATACGGGAGGGGCTTTTTTATTGGCATAAGGATAATTACCACATTAATTCTTTGCCTATCAACAGGCAAAGTGTGTATCTGGGGAGGGGGGTGAGTCACTAAAGTACTTACTTCCTTCCCTTTGAAGCTGACAGCAAGTCAGAAAAGTTTTTAATAGTGCTTTTCCTCCTTGTTTCTTTGTATAAGGCACTGCAGTCTGCTTGTTTTACAACATCATACTTGTTAAGTGTCATTTACCTTAGTTTTGCTAGAAAATCCTTTGGGAGTCTCGGACCATAACATTTTAAGCTCCACTTGAAGTGAATCATCAGTGACTAGCAAGCTTTAAAAATGAGATTCTTCTAAGTCAGCCAAAACCAGAAAACCAATCCTCCCCTCCCAAAAACCACTTGAAACAAACTGTCAATTACAGCAATTATAATTTTTCAGATATTATGCTTTCCGTCTCTTGATTCTTAGTTAATTAGTTCTCCAGCACTGAAGAGGTTTCTGCAGTAAATAAAATGTTTAATTTTAAAGTAAACAGAGAGGGATAAAAAAGCAAATACTTCTCAAATTCCCCCCCCTCTTTCTCTCACTCTCAAAAAGGAAAAAAACTTTTCTCTTTTTATAGAGAACCACTAACTCCCATGATTGAATTTTATAAGCTGCAAATTAACAGTCCCCCCCTAACTCCCAGGAAGGCTCTGAGGATTAAAGTCTGTAAAATGCACTGAACATGGAAAGGCCACTGTGAGGTAGTATCACAGTATTCCTATTACCCAGCTTCTCTCTCTGTCTTTTTGTAGAACTACTAGAGCTTTTTTTAACCCAATTTCATAAAGATTTCAACTCAACCTTTTATGAAAGAATTATAAATAGCCTCTTAGATTAAAACCCTTAACAGCTAAGAAGGCTGGAAAGGGAGGTAGATATTATCCACCTTTCAGTACTACAAATTGGGGCTGGAAGAGCTTAATTGCCAAGATATACTTAAGAACACACTAAGGGCTGCTATAAAAATTACTCCAATTACAGCAGCTCCACCTGGGACAGAGGAAACCACCACTTCTGTCTCTTTCCACATACCGCTCCCGTACCTCATGCTCATAAAGGGCACCACAAACAAACCACGGCTTCACACCATGCAACAGTTCTGCTCCACGTGGAGAGTCCTTTCTTCCAGGTGGTTTAAGAACCAGGCAAGCCAAGGATCTGGCTTCTTTTGTTATCACTTTGAAATCTCCAAGTGGAGATACACTGTTTGCATAATCTAAGGCAACAAAATAATTTCATCCAATGTATTAGCTGAGAAGTGTCTCAGGCAGAAAGAGATACTTTTAACCCATTATTTGCATTTGAACCTGGAATTCATGATTTCACATAAATTACACGCTCACCTAAAATGGGGAATTCATGGTTTTCCTTCTGATTTTGTCTGTGATGATGTACTCTTATTTACAATTTTTATAATTACAAATAAAAGTGTAATTCATAATGAGTGTTCAGTGAAATAATTTCTGTTAACAGTCAAGAAGTCCTTATGGTTTCAGTACTCTTGTGCTAAGCTTTTTGCAATGGTGCTCAACTGGATATTTGAAGTTCCTTCATATATTGTACCTGAAATCAGAAGAAAGTAAATTAGAAGACTATAAAGCCACAGTGAGTATATGAAGAGAGACCAAGATATCATTCTAACAGTCCAGTTAGAACATTTACAATGATGGAGTGAAGCTTTACTGAGCAAGTTGTAGAAACAGAATTACTATTTACATAAATGTTCATACTTTATTATCTGCAACAATTAAAATACTCTTCTGCTGGTACAACATAATGAGAAAACATTTTCCTGAAAAGCAATTCCTAAATAACCAACAAAAATTAACTATTTACAAATGCTATCAGCAATAAAAGTCAAAGGGTAATCTTGTTAAAAATGTCAAACTGTTAGGTCTGAGGATTACACTCGTAAGCAAGGAAGTCTGGAAAATCAAACTTGACAAAGATTCAAATCTTAAAGCCAAATAAAGCATTTTCAATTTATTTGAACTGTAATTTTCTTAGTGGAATGGGACACAATGTGTGTGTTTCTATTTTATTAGTATCTAATTATACATTCTAACTAGCCTTATATACACAGATATCTATACCTGAAGTTTTACCTTCTTATACCTGAGCATTTGAATCAGTGTTGATTTCAGTCTCAAGGAAAAAAATACCTTAAAAAAATAGCCAGTTATTCACCCCCAAACTTTACTACTACTAACGCTACCACAGCAGCCCAGAAGGCCAATAACCGTGTCCTGGGCTGCATCAAGAGAAGCGTGGGCAGCAGGTCGAGGGAGGTGATTCAGCCCCTCTGCTCCGCTCTTGTAAGGCCCCACCTGGAGTACTGCATCCAGTTCTGGAGCCCCCAACATAAGAAAGACATGGACCAGTTAGAACAAGTCCAGAGGAGGCCACCAGGATGATGCGAGGGCTGGAGCACCTCTCCTATGAGGACAGGCTGAGAGAGCTGGGGCTGTTCAGCCTGGAAAAGAGAAGGCTCCGGGGAGACCTTATAGCAGCCTTCCAATACCTGAAGGGGCTACAAGAAAGCTGGGGAGGGACTTTTCATAAGGGCAACTAGTGACAAAACAAGGGGAAATGGGTTTAAACTGAAAGAGGGGAGGTTTAGATTAGATATTAGGAAGAAGTTTTTCACTGTGAGGGTGGTGAGACACTGGAACAGGTTGCCCAAGGAAGCTGTGGCTGCTCCTCCCTGGAAGTGTTGAAGGCCAGGCTGGATGAGGCTTTGAGCAACCTGGTCTAGTGGAAGGTGTCCCTGCTGCTGGCAGGGGGATTGGAACTGGATGAGCTTTAAGGTCCCTTCCAACCCAAACCATTCTATGATTCTATGAAATACTTGTTAAGAAACTCTCACTCACCTATCTTGCAGTCACGATAGTACTTTTCTATGGGATAACTTTTTGTGAATCCAACACCACCCATCCATTCAATACATTTACTCGTTGTCAGTGTTGCAACCTAAGAAAATAGTTGCAGGGTTACAATCTCAGGATTTGAATGCAGGTGGTAGAACATTTTATCCTTTGTAAAGTAAAAACAAAACTGCACTTAAAGCAGTGAACAAGTGGGAAGAGGAAGGACTGATATTTTTGTATTCATCTTATTTATGCAGGTTATTTTAGAATAAAAGATGACATTTTTCTAAATCAGAGGACATAAAGAATTCAGTAACCATTATTGCAATAGTTCATATGCTGCACTATGAAAAAGACTAGCAACGGTATGCAAGACAGCAATTACAAAGAAGCAGAAGCAATTTAGTTTTGAATTATATTAAGGCTTGCAGTTGTGACCAGCAGAGTTGAAATGGTCACAAATGAAGTCTCACTATGCCATTTCTGCAGCCACAAAAAGAAAATCCTGAGAAAATGAATCTTTCTAGATGAGTGAAAATACTAATTCACTTTCTCTTTTAATGTTGTCACTTGTTTTTCAAAATTTTATTTAGGGCCATGAGCAGCTCACTCTTTGGTGGCTTACTTTACATTCCATACACAGCCTGAGAAGGAGAAACAAGAGAAAAGTACATCCACAGATTTCACAGCAAAACGTGAGTTAAAAGTGATACAGAAGAAACATTTGACCAGCAGTGAAACAAAGCCAGTGAATGAAGAACTGCAGGTTACCTCGGCAGCGTAGTACTTGGCCATGCTCGCCTCTTTGATGAAGGGCCTTCCTGTTTCCACGAGACGAGCTGCGTTGTAGGTCAGCAACCTCGCCGCCTCCAGCTGCGTGGCCACCTGAGCTATCTGGTGTTGCATCCCCTGTGAAGTCAGACAGAACCAGTATCTAGTACTCAACTGGAATTTCTAGCAAGAACTATTCTTTTCACCAAGGAACATACCTACATTAAAAAAAAAATAAATTACAAGATCTAGATGGACTGGCAATTCTGCACATCTCTGCATCTATGAAATCAAAGTTGGAAAAACTGGGGCACCAAAGTCCTTTTAGGACCTGCACTCTCATTTTATCTTTCCCTCTTCTTGGATTCAGGAGTCCTGGGGAACTTCTTGCCTGGCTGTCTGGACAGGAGGGTTCAACATGAACCTATTTCCACCCGTAAGTATCAAGAAAAAATTCAGCCAAATCTTAATGTTCTCCTCATCACCACGGAGACACAGGTAGGTCACCAAAGCTTTATTTTTATTTTGCAGCTATTGAGAAGAGTCATACATTAACAAATCTGGTGCCCTTATGAGCTTAACCAAGAATCTCAGAATGTTAGGGATTGGAAGGGACCTTCAACAATCATCTAGTCCAACCCCCCTGCCAGAGCAGGGTCACCTACAGTAGGTCACACAGGAACATGTCCAGGTGGGTTTTGAACATCTCCAGAGAAGGAGACTCCACAACCTCTCTGGGCAGCCTGTCCCAGGGCTCCGTCACTCCCATGGTTAGAAAGTTTTTCCTCATGTTTACATGGAACCTCCTGTGTTCCAGCTCACACCCATTGCTCCTTGTCCTACCATTGGGCATCACTGAGAAGAGCCTGGCTCCATCCTCCTGACATCGACCCTTTACATATGTATAAATATTAATGAGGTCACCCCTCAGTCTCCTCTTCTCCAAACTAAAGAGCCCCAGCTCCCTCAGCCTTTCCTCATAAGGGAGATGCTCCAATCCCTTAATCATCTTTGTGGTTCTGTGCTGGACTCTTTCAAGCAGTTCTCTGTCCTTCTTGGACTCAAGTCTTGAAGAACGACTTGAGAAAAAAGTACCTCTTAAATAAAGTGGAGAACTAGCAAGGTGACAACTCCTTCTCATGTCCCATAGCTGTGAGACAAGAGTTAGGAGCAGCACAAAAGTATAGAGGACATGACTGATGAATGATTCAAAGGGAAGGAAAAAGGTGATGCAGCTCACCTCTAAATGGTAGGTTACAGAAGAATAGGTTTATTTAAGGAGATCCAAACATTATGATGATTGAAAACAAACATTTAGTTGTCTACCTTGCTCCTAAAACACATTGAAATCTTTCATCTTATTAGAACATTAACACTGCCCCCTAAAATTTGCAAAAACAAATATGCAGGTCAAAATAACAAAACGATTTGGCAATTATAAATTCCATTTCCCATTCAAAAGATGCAGTTCCAATAATTTCCGAGATATCTGTGGGTGCTTCCAAAAATTTGTATAAATTATGAGTAGTACTAATGTTCCCTCCCTTCATCCAAGATGTAGATTTCTTTTAACAATTACTAGAGTAATTACAATTATTTATCTTCCTTATTAAACTATACATCATTTTTGCAACAAAGGGTCTTTTTCGTTTTATGATACAGATATTATAATGAAAACTAAATGTCTTTGTGTAACACAGGAAAACTAATAATTCAATCAGTTTGCCTCATCTTTTTATAATTTCTATTGCCTCCAGAAAAAGGCCTTCCCCTGCATCTCATGGAAGGGTATAAAAACTGGAACACACTCAACCTACCATGATATTAAAATCAGAAGAGAAAGGAATAGAATCATAGAATGGTTTGGATTGGAAGGGACCTTAAAGCTCATCCAGTTCCAACCCCCCTGCCATCAGCAGGGACACCTTCCACTAGATCAGGTTGCTCAAAGCCTCATCCAACCCGGCCTTAAACACAGAAAGGAGTTCCATGTGTATTATTTTCAAGGCCAGTGAATATACTGTCATGGAAAAGGAGTTACATTAATAATGTTTTGAAGTTTTAAATTATTTATATGGTGCCTTGCAAAGGCACACAGCACTGAATTTACACATTTTACGTAGCAGATGAACACTCATCTGAAATTCTTTTGAAAAATTCTTCTCAAATATTGAGAAGTAGAGACATGACACAAATGATGCAAATCAGATTACTCATTTTACTGATTTCATCTAGTGTGGTAACTACTACTCTCTTGGAGAAAACTTCTCATGTGTTCATCAACAAATACCTGGAAATCAAATATGCTTTTCCCAAACTGGATTCTCTCCTTTGTATAGGGAATCGTATGGTCAAAACACCCCTGCGCCAGTCCTAACATCTGTAAGAAATAAGACATATTGGGGTGAGTTTGGCCAAAAAAACCACCAAACAAACAAAAAAACCCAAACTTTGATGAATAAGCCTATTCTATCCTATTCCATTCCTGAAAGAAACTTTCTTACTATAGGTAAAACGTGTGAAAACACTATCACTAATTATTGAACAAAAGTTACGGGTCAACTGTGGTTCCGCAAAAATTAAGTGTTTCTGGGAAAATTCTTAATTAAATTAAAGATTTGTAGATACACATTACACTATTAAAGAAAAAATAATTTGAATGATTATTCAAAGCTATTTTCATAATCAAAATAATTTCTCATTTTATAGAAGACACTAGACTGTGGGAATTAGCAATTTCTTTCACAAGTTAGAAAATTAGTATAATGGAAGGAGAGGTAACATTTGTTCCAACATTTTCTAGGAAAAAAACAACTCAACAAAACAATTTTACAAGAGCCATTGTCTTTTCACACACTCTTTTCACTCAGCAGCAAAGAGAGCAAAACACAATTGTTATCTTGGAGGATAACATCTGGGAAAACTACACACGAACATTTATAAAGGAGTAACTCACACCTACCTTCGTGTCTGATTTCTTAGCCTGAAGAAACATTATGAAATCTGGAAAGTAAACTAGTTTCATGTTACACTACCAAATTTTGAGAAGTGTATTCCATTCCAAACGAAACAGTAAAGAAAGGACCCTGCCTTTCATATATATCTTGGAATATATAGCTATTAGTAAATAAGATCAGTTGGTTTCATTATATAACCACCATCCACCTGAATACAATTCCTTCCACCTAGTTTCTTTCCCAGGAAAAATGAAGATAGGGAATTAGATTAGGGGAAGCATCAAACAAGAAAAAAAACACCAACAAAAAAGGAAATGAATGGCATGAAGAACTATCAAAAAGCAAAGTAACAGTATATGGTAAAACTGGAATCTTATAAAACTTTTCTAAGTCAAGGTGGGATATTAGAACATGGCAGTTACCTGTTGTGACAGGTGTCAAGCAACTCAGTCCAACTACTTTTAATGATGTACAATAGCTTATGGGTATTTTTGGATAGACCCACAGATTAAGCTGAAAGCTTAGGGCCCCAAGAAGATAAAAACATGACTCTGACTGGGTTCTACTCCTTAATCATTTAAGGTTCTAGGAAAAAGACTCCACAATACATAGGAAAATGAGTATGTGAGAAAACAACATAAGAAAATAACACAGTCTGCTGCTAATCAGCTGTATCTGCTGCCTTCTCATATCAGCTTCAGCACCTGTAACAATATATGCAGCTACCTTGTGCTAAAACTACCTGAAACTGTTTTCACAGCCACAACTCCATTTTGTAAGATGTTCATCATCTTTTAAAGCTCTTACTACTGCAAAACTGGATTCAATACTACAGAGCTTTAGAATTGCTGTTCTTGTCCATTCAAGTACATTTCTCTTCATTTGAAGGTGCCAAGAAAGTAGCAACTAAGATATAACAACTACCTGATCTTAACTTTTAATTAGGTTATAAGTGTAACTTGGAGTAATTAAAAGTAATATCCAGACCATGTATTTTACTGCCAGAACCTCTATATTATTGATATCTCTGGAAACAACAGGCCCACAGCCCTAGTTTTCAAATGTCATATCAGACAAAGTTTAATTGCAGATAATCATTAAGGATTATGGAAAATCCAATCCATTTAGCAGCATAACATACTGCCATGTGGAAAGTCTAAATTTAATGAGGACTGTTACCTCTGGGTTGTTTGCAAACCAGGGCAAAAGATAAGGGAGGTTTGTAGTATAGATATATTAAATCCTATACAGCACAACTACATCCACAGCAAAGCAAAAACAAAGCAATTACTACATTCAGAAGTACATTAAAAATATAAAAAATTGTCATTTAAGTTATTTTATTATAGGGCTGAACCTGATTTCCACTGAAATCAGCAGCAACCTGAGATCCAAACTGAGTTTACAACAAAATACAACGTTTTGAAATAACTCCAAGGCCAGCAAATGTTTTCCCCTAAGATGCCATGAGGTGCAATTTTCAAATACAACAATGAGCTAGGACACTTCTGCTATAAAACTTCGTTCTTATTTTAAAAATAAGTTGTTGGGAAAACATCAGTTAAAAGGAAAAGATCACATTTGGCAATCCCATACACTCACAGTTGGAAGCATTAATATTTTAAGTTTCAGTGTGTTGTATTTTCCAAAGTTAAGTTTTCTTTTGTAAAATAAATTTGCCTAACAGAAGACAAAAATGTTGACATATTTCAGTAGCAATAAGTTAACCACAAAAGACAAACTAATTGCTATTTAATGTTTCCTAAATCTATTCCTTACACCACTGAAGGAGAATTTTACCATTTACAGTTATTTCAGTCTGTTACTATGACTTAGATACAGGAACAGTGACATCTAGTGGCACCTTAGTTTTTAAGAAAGTATTTTCTAAATAGTTTATCCTTAACTAGCTTTAAATATTCCATAAATTGAAATCCAAATTCAAAGTTATATACTGATTGTATTTAGAATTACATAAAATTACTCACCTGTGCAGCAATACCTATTCTGCCAGTATTTAGCATTCCAATTGCATACTTATAGCCTTGTCCAACCTGGCCCAGGATATTGGTCTCAGGAACCTAAAGAATAAAAACAATTATCCCTGTTCTATTCTGCTTTGCAACTGCTAGGAGGGTTCACAGGTGAATCAGTGTAGATTTTTTTAATTTATTGTTCCTTATAAGAGAAGGCATGAAGTATAAACCAGGCATTTGATTCCTAGAATATCTGAGAGAACATTTCCTGATACATGTGATTATAAAATGATGGTTGAGAAAAAACTGTATCAAAATTTAAGAAATTCAACCCACCCCTCAAGACTTTTGTCAAAGAACAGGGAGGAAAAAGTTGAAATATGCCAAATAATCAGTCTAAGGAAAAAAAAAATATTGGGAATTTAGTTAACATTCTTTCCTTGTATGTGGTCAAGCTCCATTTATACACAAATTACGCTTCAATAGCTCAATGATTTACAATACCTTAACGTTTTCAAATGTTACTGGGCAGGTAGAAGACGCTCTGATTCCAAGCTTGTCCTCCTTCTTCCCTACATGTAGTCCCTCTGTGTTGCGATCTACTAGGAAGCATGTGATTCCCCTGTATCCCTAGGATGAATTACAAAAGGATCAAGAATTGTTTTTTATATTAATATCACCAAATGGTGGTCCAAATATCACATTCCAGTAGTGAAACTTTACACTAGCTTAATACTATATTACAAAATAAAACACTAGCACTGTCGTTTGTTCCCTCTATGTCTGCTAATTATGGTTTAACAAAGGCCAGAGAGATCTTTCTGTTAAAATATTCCATGTGGAAGATAAAACCAGAACAAGCTGAAAAGTTCTCTTGGTAAGCCAGGGGATTGGTATTAGGTAAATGAAACAGACAGGAGTGTAGTGCCTGTCTGCACTGGAAATCACTGGGAAAGCAAGTTATCACTGTGCAATGGAGTTACTGCTTGCTGTCGGAACACACGTCACAAAACATGGACTAATCTAACACCCAGAACTGGTGCACACATTCTCCTTGTGATTCCAGTTTGCAGAATACTTAATAAAGTACTCTGAAATCATGATGATGGTTGTTATCAAAAAGCTCAACATGTTGATTTGGTATTCAGATCACGATTTGGACAGGACACTAAATAACGCACGTGACCACATGCAGATTGTAGAGCCAAGCTACATTCTGGCATCTCCTATGAACAGGCTTAAAATCTTCATATCTTTGAAGTCTTAAACTAGATTCTTGAAGTACAGAATGGTGATTCCTGTTAGTCATCACTCATTCTTGCTCTCTCAGCAATTCCCCTGGCCAGAACCACAGCAGTGTCTCTTTGGCAACATACTACAAGGTCCACGAGACAGACGTGCAAGGTGTTCCTGGCCATGTTTCCATCTCTTCCTGTCCCTAATGTCCACAGCACCACCTCCACCACAGCACCCTCACTAAGAGGGTGACACTGAGAAGCAAGAAAAGTCCTGTGGTTCTCCTGGAAGAGTTACCTCTTATTCAAGAGAAGGTTGCTGTTTCAATCTCACCTCAACGAGAGCCCATCATCAAATGGGAGCTGCTAGTGCAGGGTGTATGTTTCACTACACAGTTCTACACTGAGCTATTCTCTCATTTAAACTGATGCCAACTGTTATTTAACCATTGAACAGCACTGACTTTTAACCTGCTTTTTAAATATTTAAAAGCATTTCTAACTTTAAGCAGACACTGCATTATATATTTTTAAAATGTTACACTGATACAGAAATAACTCCAGATTATATGGCAACGCACAGCAGGAAACAAACATAGAAAGTGGCTTATCAAATGTATTTTCATTGTATGTAGTACTCAAATCACCCACCAGCTTGTGAAGAAATGAATGAAAATTCAGAAAGCAACATGATGTTCAACTGTTCAAAGATTTTCTTTCTTTAATAATCTTAAAGAAAAGATTTATTTTCTTTTATTAAAGATTTTCTTTCTTTAATAAAAGAAAAAAACCCTCTATTTATTTAGTCAAAACCTGAAATTTAAATTTTGAAAAATAAATATCTTTGAGTTAAATTTTCAAGAAAGAGATACTGGAAGAACTTTAAAAAAAGAAATAAAAGTTTTAAACAATTCAGCTTTGTATTTGATTATCACTCTACCATATTGGTATAGTACATTTTAAAGCCTGCAGTTGATTTTTCTGAAGCTATTACCTATATCCAAATTGGTGACAGACCTTGAAATACACATATTTAGCTATGTATTTTTTCCACCTGAACACACTTTGCTGTTGTATTCTTGTTAGTTTTCCAGTGCATGTAGCCTAAACTTTATTTTGCCTTTTAACAACAGCAACTTGTCAATTAAATCAGATGGGTTGGAAAGACTTAAGACTGTCTGTTCTTCCCTTACTCAGAATAATATCAATGCTCAGGGTGCTCTTCATCTAAGCAATTATGATTCTGACATTTCTATTTTCCCTGGTGGGAGAAATTTATTAAATTGCTCAGCAAGTTCTCCACTTTTGTTGGGAAACGTTTTTAAAGGTTTGCTGTCAGCTAGGAAAAGGTACAAAGAATATTAACCTTTAATATCAGATTATTGATATAAAATCCATAGTTTCATATATCATCAGCTGTCACTGAAATGCAACTATTCTTTAACAACTTACTAAGGATGGGTCTGTATTTGCCATCACAAAGAAAACTCCTGCATGTTCTGCTAAGCTAATCCACATCTTTGAGCCATTGATAATATAGTAGTCTCCTTTCTTCTCAGCCCGAGTCTTCAAAGAAAAAGCATCGCTGCCAGATCCAGCTTCTGAAAGACAGAAACTGCCTATCTGTTGAAGAAAAGAAAATAATTTTAATTTTTACTGAACATACAGGCACAACATATTAACTAATTCTGCAATGAAAATAGTTATAACCAAGTACAACTCTTAAATTCAAACATTTTAACCTCTTGCATCAAAATAATTAAGTTTCAGATAGATTAAGAATAGAAACACTATGTAATTACATGTCTCTCAAAGTCAACTGCTTTGAAGTTATTTTCCACAGTAAATTAAATTTTAATGAAACCTAAATTTTAATAAGCACCTTTCTACTTTTACCTCTCAGCAACTGATGACAGGATGTATCTGTATCACCACAGATCTCAGCTCTAACCAGTGATCCAAAGTTCAAAGATATTTTCTAATGCTGCAGTTACACACTCAATCACTGGGGAGAAAGCTCCACCAACATTACTTAACTATTAAAAACTGTATTATAGCTTAGTAAAGGGAGAATTTGACTCACTGTATCTCTTAGTAAAGGGAGAATTTGACTCACTGTATCTTTAGCCACCCTGGGCAAGTAAGTTCTCTTTTGTTCTTCTGTTCCATAGGTAGTAAACAACTTATTTGTTAGTGTATTTTGGAGTTCACATAGAAGAGCTACAGCTGGATCAACTTTGGCCAATTCTTCTACCACCAATATGGTTGAAAAAAATGAAGCTCCAGTTCCTCCATATTCTTCCCCAAGCTCAATACTCATCAGCTGAAATGCAAAAGATGCAAAGATATCGATCTCTTAGTTCTCGTCAACAACTTGTTAGCACAAGCAGATATTTAAGAGATTAAAATAAAAAACCATGGCATATAAACCGTTCCAAATCCTTCCCCAAAACCATGTTTTCCTTCAGTTCCCTTAACAAACTAAAAATTCTTCACAGAAGGTGATAGTCAATTCATGCAAGAAATAACTACCATGTGCAGGATACAGGTCAATCACCACCCTACTTTGATTACATTTTCCAGACCAATTGCAATCTCAACAGAAGTCTAATATTTAGAGTTGTTGTTGTACAGAATGACTTTCTAAACATGTAAAAGCTTTAGGTTTGATAGCAAAAAAGGCTAAAATTGAATCCAGGAATAAACACCTGGATACCTGCAACACAAGTCCTCGTGGTTGCCCAGTAAGGACACAGAGGAATCCTCATACCCTTATCAGAGTCATGCCAGTTCTATCATTCTATGCAATTATGTTTATAAAATTAAATTAAAAAAGAGAGGGGAGGTGGGAAGGTAAGGAAATCAAAGATAAGATGAAGAATGTGGTGTGGGAGTGGGAGAAATAGAAAGAATATTATAGGAAAAGATGAAGAGTGATAAAGCAGTAAAAAAGAAGAGAAAGTCACCCTGCTGTTGATAAATCCCAAATTTTTAATTATTCATTAGTTAATGTGAATTATATCCCTCAATCTAAAAATCTGAAAAGTGCACAGATAGAAACCCGTATGAATTATGTCACTTTCTGAATAAATGATTAAGTAAAAGTGTGCAGACCCCTTGTTCAAACAATCCCTGTATTACAGAGTCTTCCATTTTCGAATTCTCATCCATTTTTTGCACCAAAGGTGCAACTCGTTCCTGAGCAAATTTTGTCACTGTAACAAAGAGAAGAAAGAAAATTGTAAGTACTGTACTGCTCTTGTTGAAGATCAATATAACAGTGACGAGGTACTTCTGACAGGTTATTCCCTGACTCTCCCAGACCAGTTCATGAAAGGACCAAAAGTTGCCTGAGTGAAACAAGGTAATGTGCCACAAGGCTCAGTTATCATTGCTCACTCAGCTACAACTCTCTCAACCCAAACAAATACTTCCTATACATTCAGAAATTTTGAAAGTATCTCAGCAACACTTACGTAACATTAGTTGACCCAAAAAAATTATAGAAAATATTTCAAATACACCCCTTGTTTTGTTAGCTGTACCTTGTTTCTTTATAAATTAAAGCTGCAGTTTGGGAAGATGCTCTCAGGCTTTAACACAAAGTTAAAGTGCACAAAGTCATAGAATCATAGAATGGTTTGGGTTGGAAGGGACCTTAAAGCTCATCCAGTTCCAACCCCCCTGCCATCAGCAGGGACACCTTCCACTAGACCAGGTTGCTCAAAGCCTCATCCAGCCTGGCCTTGAACACTTCCAGGGAGGAGCAGACACAGCTTCTCTGGGCAACCTGGGCCAGTGTCTCACCCTGCAAGAAAGACTGTTCCTGCTTAATCAGAGCCTTTTATAAGCTCTCTCCCAGAGGTGCAGGTCTTCACTCTTCTACCTTTGCTCTGAGGATCCCTTCTGAAATGCTGTCAGGCACAAGTCAATGCCAGGCAACACCATGTCAGTGACAGCAACTGTTTTAAACAGTTAGTACTTATTTATGCGGAGTAAATTGCGCTGTGGTATGTGGAACTGTGCTATGGTAACATGCAAAAAGAACATATCAACATTGAACTCTCAACACTGAACTAGAATTAAATAACAAAAATAAATTTTTAAGCTAAAATTTCTCTTCTGATTAGGCATTTCTGAATTTTAGCCACACAGATAATAGTTACCCATATTTTTCAGCATCGTCTCCTCTTCAGTGAATGTTTGAAGTGGAGCACAGACAACTCCATCACTGGCTAGATTTGGCAGAAGTTCTGATTTGGAGGATCTAAAGACACATGGAGAAGCCCTCCAAGGAGGCAAGCATGCTGGCAAATTTCTTTTCAGCTGTTGACAATAAATACAGAACATGCAAACAGTTAATAGAATTTGTACTTGCATACAGACAGCAATACACAATTTTACCCAGTGTTTTTACTCATTAAATGAATAGGAAATATAACTTACATTCAATGTCTAGTCTGAAAGTTTTTGAGAAGATATACCCCCCCACACACACACACACAGTGTCCTTAAATAAAATATCCTTTAATTACTCTTCTTTTAACCCCAAACAATTTTCTTTCTGGAACTTTGCTAACACAATGTTACTCTACAAAGTATTCACAAACATTAATTTTAGTCAATTTTAGCATTTACAGCAAAAAAATCCTTGCTGATAGCATTTATTTTGACAGATGATTTTGCAAGTCTGCTGCAATATTCATAGTAGTAAGTGTATATTTTGATAGAATTAACCTCCTCACTAACAAATACGATGAGAACAAATGTGAAATAGACATACAAATATTTTTTTACAGAAGACCTGTTGACTTTAATGACAGACTTGGCTTTCTCCCTGGTTTTCTAGGGGCCAGCAGCAATTATTTCTAAAACAATCTGACAGCACTTCATCTAGATTATTGATATTTTGCCATGAAAGAGCATAACTTTAAACATCACTGTGGATTTTTGTATTCAGAGTGCTTATCCTCCACTTCATGATTTTGAGAGTGAACACAATTTCATAGACAAAGCCCTGGCATTTGAATGCCTCTGTATATTTAATATCTATATAGTTAGTTTAAATCCTATAGTTAGCATGCTGATAGTGTTATGTAGCGAATAACTAATGTGCCTTATTTGGTTGATTTATTAAAAAACTACAGGAAGGAACTGAAATTGAGTAATTTATGTTTAACCTCTCTCCATTTATACAACAATCTCACCTCTCCTATGAGGACAGGCTGAGAGAGTTGGGGCTGTTCAGCCTGGAGAAGAGAAGGCTCCGGGGAGACCTTATAGCGGCCTCCCAGTACCTGAAGGGGCTACAAGAAAGCTGGGGAAGGACTTTTCATAAGGGCAGTTAATGACAAAACAAGGGGAAATGGGTTTAAGCTGAAAGAGGGGAGGTTTAGATGAGATATTAGGAAGAAGTTCTTCACTGTGAGGGTGGTGAGACACTGGAACAGGTTGCCCAGAGAAGCTGTGGCTGCTCCTCCCTGGAAGTGTTGAAGGCCAGGCTGGATGAGGCTTTGAGCAACCTGGTCTAGTGGAAGGTGTCCCTGCTGATGGCAGGGGGGTTGGAACTGGATGAGCTTTAAGGTCCCTTCCAATCCTAACCATTCTATGATTCTATGATATTAAGAAGCACTGGTCATCCAACCAAGAGAGCAGAGGTATCACAGAGTGTTTTACTACAGGGACAATGGCATTAAGCATTGTTCTGTAATGGCAGAAGTCACAAAAAATTAACAAAACAGAAGCTTTTGGAGCAAGCTACACTAGGGATTGTCAGGAGGGAGGACACAGGTGATTAGTTTTGTACCTTGGAGAACTATAAACTACTTACTCAAGTAGATAACAGCAGGCTTTAGAAAGAAACACGTTAATATACTTTCTAACCATGGAAAAATTCCTTAGGATTTTTTTTAAAAGTCAGCATAATGAATATCATCTGGTTTAAGAAGTAACAGGCTAGCAGCAGATAAACTGCTGCAGAATGTAATCCTGAAAAGCAATGTTCAAAAAAGCAGCACAGTTTGACTGACCTCAAAAGAGGCAAGGCAGAAAAATGGCTTTGCTCTCATAGCTCCCCAAACCCAACTTACTCCGTAGCCAACATCCACAGATCAGATCTCTGCTACAGATTTCTGTCACTTTTACTACGTCAGTCTAAAGTGTGGAGATATTAATGTCTTACCAACTGCCGAGAGAAACCCCCGGCAGAGACACAGCTGTGCTGTAAAAATAACGCCTATATGAGCATATGCCTGCCAACACACATTTTTGCTAGCACACATTGTAACCCCACAGCGAGCAGAACAACTGACTGTGCCACAACCAGGCTGCTGTTTAGCTCACAGAACGCAGGACAACTTTGCAGTGCACATTGTGATAGCAGCATTCCTCAGAAAACAGCAGAAACTTTGGGGTCAGGAAGTAAAAATTCCTTTGATCCTTCTAATGATTCATTCTCTTTCATGTTGGCTTTCAACACTTGTCATCTCCCTGGCTGAAGAACTGATGGAAAACAGATCTACGGACTCTTTTTGTCTTGGAGACAAGATTCTTAAGTCTATTACAGTAAGGGAACTCCAACTTTAGCACAACAACAGAAAAAAAAAACAGTAAAGCAGTAATACAGAAAACAAATATTGCTGTGAACATCCAATGTTCATTCATGTTCAACATCCCTGGTCACAGAAAACAAATATTGACTAGTGGAGTGATTCATGATTACAAAGTTTGGATGATCAGCAACACTTTCAAATGAAGACCATGTTACTGGAGGTAATAGTTCTTCAAAAAAACCCAAGATATGAGTTGCTTTAACAGAGGTAAAATCCAAGGCAACCACGTTCAGGAAGAAGAAGATCCAGCTACAGCAGGGTCACTCAATATCCAGATGTGCAAGACTATTAAACATCTACCACATTCTTAGCAAGGTCTGAGAAGGAAAAAACTCAAGTATATACACACACATGTGTATATTTAACACAGTACACTTCCCGAGCAGTTACAGGAGTACAAATCACACTTACTTCCTGCTTCTTCCACTACTTTATTTCCAAGTACAGAGAAAAGAACATTTTTCTTTCACGTTAGGAGAACCAAAGATGAATCACTGAGAATATTTCACCAGTACTGACCAAGAGCTGTGAGGAAAAACACACGGTGCCTTTTTGAGAATACAAAACTTTTTAAAGAGCTTCAAGTAGGTATGCTCAGGAGGCAACAAGCCAGTACTGTTGAAACAACAACTAGGAGTACTCTGGAACTACCTCTACTTTTGTTTGATAGCACCTGACACCTGGATGTAGAATTATTGACTGTGCAGGTGAAGGCATCGCTAAACACACGCAGAGGGCTCTGCCCCAGCCAAAGTGGGAAGTACAGATTTTGTAGACTAAAAAAAATAAAATAAAATAAAATACAGACTTTTCTCATGTGTTTTCATGAAAATGGAAAGCTGGACAAACTTGATTAAAAGTAGCTCAGCAAGGTAAAGCACAAGGGTGCAGGGCTGTAGTGGCTGAGGTGACCTGCCAGTAGCCTAGCTAGCAAGTAGAAGCTTTGAAACCCAGCCAGCAGCTCAGAGTGTGTTACAGATTAGAGCAGGCCTGCTCTTGGCAACAATGCCAAAGCTTTTGAGGAAGGAAACTGTCCCTTTGTTCACCTTCCCTCACTCCTTCTGAGTAGAAACCATCCCTTTCTCAGAGCTTTCACTTGGAGGCTCCCCTGCTGCAGGGTGGCAGAGGAAGGTGTCCTACCACAGCAGGAGAAACAAAGGCAGCCCTTAGCGTACGCAGGTACACAGACACGGTTTGATACACGCTTGTTTGAAACTGGACTGAGGTGGCTCTAGAGGGCAAAAGGAATATTCATAACAAAGTTACCTTGAAAAGCCCTAAAACCAGGAGGGATGGCCCCCAGGGATGGGATCTACATGGACAACCCCACACACAGAGCAGCAACCCATAGGTATGTATTTCACTCCAGAGAAATAGCATGTGTAGAAGCGATTTGGTTTTGTCTTAACATTTAGATTAAAAAAAAAATAAAACCACTAAATTATTGTTTACAATAATTTAATCCTTAGAAGTCATAGAATCATAGAATGGTTTGGATTGGAAGGGATCTTAAAGATCATCTAATAACAACCCCCCTGCCATCAGCAGGGACACCTTCCACTAGACCAGGTTGCTCAAAGCCTCATCCAGCCTGGCCTTCAACACTTCCAGGGAGGGGGCATCCACAGCTTCCTTGGGCAACCTGTTCCAGTGTCTCACCACCCTCACAGTGAAGAACTTCTTCCTAATATCTCATCTAAACCTCCCCTCTTTCAGTTTAAACCCATTTCCCCTTGTTTTGTCATTAGTTGTCCTTATGAAAAGTCCTTCCCCAGCTTTCTTGTAGCCCCTTCAGGTACTGGGAGGCCGCTATAAGATCTCCCCGGAGCCTTCTCTTCTCCAGGCTGAACAGCCCCAACTCTCTCAGCCTGTCCTCACAGCAGAGGTGTTCCAGCCCTCGCATCATCCGGGTGGCCTCCTCTGCAGCCATACAGTATGACAAACTTTCAGGCAGTGATTTGAAATGCAGGTATGTTACTGAAATGCTTTGATACTGCTTCCCTGCTTCCCCCCCTCCCCTGTTTCCATAGGTAAGGTAATGATTTACACCGCTACAAGATTCAGAGTGCTTGCCCTGCTAAACACATGTCTTTGAAAATTGGCTGCTGGGTTGCTGATAACATTGATTTTTCTGTTTATCTCAATTCTTACCTCCACTTCAGCTCTTTAAAGATTAGTTCTTTTAGTTTCCTTCTGTTTGTTTTACCATCTAAAATGTGATTTTAATGCTGGTGGACCTGGCAGCAGCATTAAGATATAAATTTTAAAAAGGCCAAATATATTTTCCCAAGCTTTCCTTGATGACTTCCTCTCCTGTATCTGTTCTAGCTGGCATCCAGACAGGTCCTATTTCTCAGCAGAGAAGCTCCATCACAGGAAGCTTGCTTGCCCTCATTTATGGGCTTGGGTTTCCTTATTTCAATTGTCACGACACATCCACAAGCTGCCAGGAGAAGGTCCCAAGCTAGCACCTAGCACGTCTTCTCACTCTGCACAGTAAAAGAGTGTGTGTGGCACAAACCCATGTCTTCTGCTTGGTTTTATTCTTTTGTCTTTTGATTGCTCCTACAGTGCCACACTTCTGTTTAGATAAGTAAAGGAGACATAATGAATGTCGTGAGTTGGAAGGGACCCACAAGGACCATCCAGTCCAACTCCTGTCCCTGCACAGGACAATCCCAACATTCACACCATGTCCCTGAGGACCTTGGCCAAATGCTGCTGGAATCTTGTCAGGCT